TTTTTTCTGCGCCGCGTGCCTTAATTAAGGGGTATTGGGTTCTCTGAGTCACGATGCACTCGGCCCATGAACCTCGAAAACAGTCCTGACATGTAGTCCTGTAGACCCCCACAGCCGCAAAGGTATGTTTGCCCGTCCTCCCCCGAATCTTCGCGTCCGGATCTGCTCGTCTGTGGAGGAGGAGGCGGACGATCTCGTCCTGTCAATTTTAGGGGATTTGGGTTTAGGGTTTAGGGTATGGGGTATTCCATGGTTGGTGTTGTTTGTGACCCTAAAACCCTAAACCCTAAACCCTATAATCCCTTGAGCTGGTTCCCGGTGCGTTCGGCTCTGAACGATTCTGTCCTCTTCTGCCTGTCGTGAGAAGGTTTCGGTGTCTAGGGTTCAGGGGCTTCGTGATTCAGATGTTGGGGTCACGCTTATTCAAAGAGTAATCCCTTAGGGTCCATGTGCCCGAATAGTATATACTTTGGCCCCAAAGTACCTTTGTAGGGACTACTTTAAGGCCAAAGTATATACTATTTGGGTACATGGACCCTTAAGGAATTATAAGTAACCCTGAGGGTCCATGTGCCCTGATAGTATATACTTTGGCCTTGACGTAGTCCCTATACAGGTACTTTGGGGCCAAAGTATATACTTTTTGAGTACGTGGACCCTCAGGGTAAGGTAGTTTGTCTGGTTCAGAGATCAATGAGTGAAGTCCTGGACTCGCAGGCTCCGGGTTTTCCGGTTCGTAGGCATACAGCTCAGCAATGCAGTGATAACATAGGCCCTTGCGAGTGGAGGACACGTCATGGACTTGTAAGGGCATTCCAGATCAGAATCTCTTCGTGTGTTTGTGCTGGCTCGAATAGAAAGAAACTGTGGCCATGGCTTGTGAGGGTAGAAAGCCCAAGAAGCATGTAGGGCTCAAGAACAGTCTACAGGAGAAGCCCACTCCGACAATCAAAACGGTACACCTGAACCTTTGACCGTCTTGCATCACTATCTAGCAGCCAATAAGAAAATGTCAGCAAGATGGCTGCCGACTGGCCAGGTACTCTCCACGAGACACGGTCATTGGGGGAGCAGCTGTTGCAGACAGCGGCACGCACCGATGTGGCCAGCAGGGGCAAAAAGGGCTCAGCTTAATCTTGCATTCAGCTTAGCCTGAATAAACCCAGAGAGCCCAATATACTTAAATTAAAGAAAAAACTACCTTACATTATAGCGGCCCTATAATATTATGATCAAAAGTATACTCCTTAGTTACGCCGGTCAATTGAGGGGTGGAGTTCAGGCTCTGGGCTACACCCTGAACCCTAAACCCCTAAACCCTTTCAGAACTGTTATAGAACCCTTGTGGAACTTACAGGTTTTTAGAAGAACTTGGGTTTTAGAAGAATTTTTATAAAATCCTCATACAACCTCTTCCCAACCCATCCTCGCCAGCAGCCGAGGATGCAGAAAGAGGCTCGGAGAGGTTTCCAGCCGAAGGTTCCGCCAGCAGCAGTTCGACGATCCTTGACTTGGGAATTTGGGAATTTAGGGTTTAGGGTTTAGGGTTTCCGCGGCTCAAAAATATTCTGGGGTCTTTGCAAGGGCTGCATGGGTTCTAACAAGTTTACATGGAGGATTAGGGCTTAGAGTAAACAAAGCCTCATGAACCCCTGCAAAAGCCTCTTAGAATCCTTTCCAGAACCCTAAAACCCGTACAAAACCGGTCAACACTTGCAAAAAAACCCTAAACTCCTATCCCCCCTAAACCCTAAACCCGAAACCCTAAACCCTCGACCCTGAACCCAAAAGGCTGAACTCCAAGTTGAGTTTGTGGGGACCTGCCCTGGAGGTCAACAGGGTTTAGGGTTGAAGACCCTCAAACCTCAAACACCAAAACCCTAAATCCCTGAATCTGAAAAACCCTAATTCCAAGCAGATTCTTCGTCGACATGGGAAGCTTTGCTGGGGTTATGTGGTGTGACAACGGCTGCATTGAGCTGGATGGGTTTAGGGTTTAGGGGACCAAAACCCGCATAGAACTTCGTCCAGGACATCGGCTCGGCTCGTTGCCCGTACCCAGAGGCTCCAAAGTAGTTCCTTTTTGGGGGTCACGTTATAGGAAACTAAATATGAACCACAAAAAGGAACTACTTAGGGGCCTATGGGTAGGGTTTAGGGGACCCCAACCTGCATAGAACTTCGTCCAGGACATCGGCTCTGCTCGTTGCCCGTACCCAGAGGCTCCAAAGTAGTTCCTTTTTGGGGTCACCTTATAGGATTCTAGATATAAACCACAGGAAGGAACTACTTAGGGGCCTATGGGTAGGGTTTAGGGGACCCAACCTCGTTGCCCGTAGACTCTTGGTGCGGCGCTCCGAAATCTAAAGGCTTGATAGAGGCCGGTGTAAGCCTGCAAATCTCACATCCAAACCATACAATATACCCCGCCCAAATAAGATGCACAGCTTCACAGAATTCAAGCCACTAAGGCTCAGAATAGTGCAAAAAAGCAGAGTCTGGTCTTTGAGCCCAGCCGCCCTAATGCATGAGTCTTCAAAGAAACCCTAAACTCTAAACCCTCAACTGGTCGAGACTTTGACCAAGTAGCGATCTGTGCCCCCGTCGCGCCGCCACCACCAGCGACTCTTCTACAGTTGCGGAGCCTCATACACAGCAGCCAGTCGACGAGAACTTAGTGGAGATGGTAGTGGTAGTGGTAGTGGTACTGGCAGTGGTAGTGGGGTGGTCATCCTCGTCGTCGTCATAGTCAGCAGGAGGAGGTGGAGAAATCTTGGCGGCCTCTTCTTTCATTAGGACCTATCCGAGTCTGCCGCATCTTAGAACGGTTGGGGGACGTTTTTCCGTGGGAACCTGACGCGTGGCGTCGTGTTTCGGTACAAGCGTTTCAGAAGCTTTGGGAATTTACCGCGCAGGGCTTCGGCTTAACATTGCACGGGCCAAGAAGCTTTTCGAAGTCTTCGATGCACACCACACAGAACGGGAACTGAACCACCTGAGCAAAGCGGCTTGAGAAGGTGTTTGAGTGTAGTACTGGCGTCGGGATAGGTAGTAATGATTTGTGGTAGAATATACCCCCTTCCAATAATCAAGGTCCCCATGTTATGCAATGCTGCCGACGCATGGGTGTGCAAATGGGAGGAAACCTACCAGGACACGGTTCGCACATCCGCAAGTAGATCACTAGGCTAGATTATCACCATATTGCTATATAGCGCGATATGGCATATTCAATCTCATTAGCGCTGTACCATCCTATGGATGGGACTGGATGATAGACCTGTCGTGCTCGTCCCCGGTCGATTACTGTGCGACCAAGAAATTAGCAACATCGTCGTCTATATACATATGTATATATACATATGTATATATATATAACCCCTGAAACATTGACATGAAGAGAAAAGCGAGCGCAGCGACCTTCATTGGCAGGCTGCAGTGCCTAAGGCCTTACATCCATACTATGCTGTAGCAAGGCGTTACAAGGTATAGAAGTCAGGTATAGTCGTATTACTATCGGAAAATACCCCGAAACTAAACATCGAAATCGTGTGCTTCGCCGCTCAGCCAGGCCACATTCAAGTTCGAGATGGCGGATTGAATTGTCCTTGCCCTGACTTCACTGATATACATTTTCCAGACTTCCTGCTGCGAGTGCTTCCGTAAAGTCAGAATCACCTGAAACGCGCGAGCAGGTCTGCTTGTCCCTTATAAGTGAGGATCCTCATGCAAATACATTTCCTAAGGCCCCGCATTTTTGCTCCATTCGTGGAGTTTGGCTTTAGGGTTTCAGGGTTACGGCCCTGCGTTCAGGATTATTGGGAGGGGTTTAAGTCTAGAAACCCTAAACCCTCGATGCCTAAACCCCAAACGCTAAATGCTAACACCCCAAACCCTAAAGCCGTCAAACCCTAAACCTTTCTTTCTATCTGTGCCACTGGGATTAAGATTCAGGGGTTGGGACTGCTTGGCGAAGCATTGAGCCAAGTAGCAGCTTCGGGCTGCACGTTTTAGGGCTTACAGGTTTTACGGTAGAAGCCAGCAAGTTGGAACATCAATATCCTCATGCCCTTAAGGGAAAGTATAAGGGACCCTAGGTACAGTATACGGGATCCTAGCACTAATCCTCCTAAACCTATGTTCCAACTTGCTGTCATTTCGCTGTAGGGGTGTAGGTATTTAGGGTTTAGGGTTTCGACGGCCGCAAGCATTCGAATAAGGTTTTGGGATATGTTATGGTATAAGAGCACAGAGGCAGAGTTTTTCTCATCACTCAAGCTTCTGTAGGGCTCAAATTCCGAATGGCAGATGTGCCCCTATGAGCTCATATAGTTCTTAGTTCGACAGTTTTGAGGTCTGGGGATATCCTCCCGAAAGAAAATCGTCTTCATGCAGCTGCTACTTCTTCGTGGATCGCCCTGTCTCTCAGCAAGTCACATCCATGCCCAGGCAGACGCCGATCAGGGCAGAGAGCGGCAGCAAAAGCAGCACGTACGTGATATTAGGATCGACAACCTCACAGGGCCAGATCCAGAAACAAGGCGGACTATAATGGACCGCCTGACAAACACACGCCCCTGCCCCAAACTAGGCAAACACCTTCGTTTGACAATCCTACAACTAAAAAGGCTCGGGGCGAGGCCGAGTCAAACATGAACTATAGAGGCCGTAATGATTAAATTAGAATAGGGTTTCACGGCCAGCTGACCGTCCCAGAACTCAGACCACCAGGTGCTGTCGAAGCTGGAGTTACTCGGCAAAGCTCCAATGATCAACCAACATGCAGATGAACATGAGCAGCAAGATTTGGTGATGCTGGCGATAAGGAAGAGGACAACGACGGTCACGGACGGCCAATCTTAGATGAGGTTCACGACCATGACCAAGCCTGGTAAACCTCTGCAAGCCCATCCTTACAAGGTAACCCCAGGCCTCCCAGCCATCCACGGGAGCCAAACATAGCTTCCAGTGGAGCGAGAGCTCCGGAACTTCGATGAAGCTGGATTCCGGCTCCTGTTAGCTTTTGCTGGGGTTTAGGTTTCGTGGAGTTTTGGGGTTTGAAGCTTCAGGTGTCGCGTTATGGCACTACGTGCTGATGGCGACAGGTGGCCGAATCCAGGCTGCTGTTGGAGTGCGGCCATCGCTCCAAAGCCTCGCTCTCGACGGTCATCGTTGCGCTGGACCTTTGCACGGTGTTATCCTGATCTCGTCTCACAGAGAGCTTTATTGTTTGTTTCGTTTCGAATTTGGTGCTATCAGTGAACAAAGCTATTTCGAAGTCTTCGGTTGAGGCTGATCAAGGGGTACCCCCTGCCTAGGAATGCTTCACGATGACATTTCGTGATCCCTCGCATACGGCGACAAATGCCAAGTCAGCCAGGTGCACCTCCAGGCAATCAGTGGTTGCTACCTATTGCGAGCCTGGGCAGAAGTATGCTCCTGAATAATCACTGAATAACTTCAGGTTTTGGTTCGAAGACGAGTCCAGGCGGCAGTTGGTACGAGAACTTCGTGAAGCCTCCAACCCGATGCAGGCCCGTCTCCTTGGTGTTGTTATGAGCAAGGGCATCCTTCACGCTTCGTAATTATCACCAGCGCTATACTGGGGAGCTGCTGCACGTATGACAAACATCCTCACTGGGGGACAACGCCCTTGGAAAAGGACGTAGGCGCAGTTATTCCCCCATGTGCACAAACATGATTACGGCCACTATGTCTCCACGCCCCTAACACCATCGAACCATCTCAGTTCAATGAAGACCCAACAAGCAAACAACACATGTTTTCGAACAGGAGCCGTCGTCTTAGCAGGCTTAGTAGAAGAGTCGCAGTCATACCAGTACTAGTACAAACAACTGGACTAGTACAAGAACCAGAACTAGAACTGGTCCTAGTAGCAGTAGCAGTGGTCAGTGGTGGTGGTGGTGGTGGTGGTGGTGGTGGTGGTAGTAGTAGTCGTCGTAGTAGTAGTAGTAGTAGTAGTAGGAGTAGGAGTAGGAGTAGGAGTAGGAGTAGGAGTAGGAGCAGGAGTCAAGTAGTAGTAGGAGGAGTAGGAGCAGCAGCAGCAGCAGCAGCAGCAGCAGCACAACAGTAACCAGCGAGCAGTAGCAGTAGCATGTAGCAGCAGTAGTTGCAGCAATAGCAACAGCAGCAACAGTGGAAAGGTACCTGCAGTAGGAGGAGCAATAGCAGCAGATGCTGAGGTAGCTGGTACTGATGGTGGCGAGGATACGGACCTGCAGGATTCGTGCAATGCTCATTTGTCAATCTTTCCTGCAATGCTCATAAATCCAGCCCACCATCTGCTCCATTGCTGCCGGCGCCGACGACCCCGCCCTACACACGTAGCAGCCCTGAGCGCCAGGCTGCTGTCTTGGCAGACCTACATAGTTCAAAACTCGACACGCCTTGCACAAGACCTTCCATTGAGCTAAGCTGCCAAAGACTCAAGGTCGATAGTCCTGCCACCGGGATAAGGAGTACTCCCATGCTATTTCGGCTAGAAACTAGACTGCTGAGTCCCTCGCAAAAGCTACAAACGTGTGTACACCACAAAGAAGATGATGGCAAAACTTCGGTCATCGTGGTGCTGACAGCAGGACAATTCTCGAACATTCGCAGGCTTACACTATGCTTTCAAAAGCGCATAGATGTGGTCTTCTTGGAGAGTTGACTTGGTGTTGCCATATCTGGGTTGTATATATATATATACACACACCTATACAGGTACATGTACATACATAATATATGTATTTGCATATATCTCCATATACATATATATATATATAATATACATACATATACGGAACCGCACAGGAATACATACAATAGTAATAGATGTGTATGGACGACATATACATAGATACGTGTATACGGGTATGCCGACCCAAGCGGAAACCCCGCAACCAAAAAGCCTATAAAGCCCAACCCTACTAAACCCAAAAAACCCTAAACCCAAAACCCCGGCGGTCCTCAGTAAATCCTCGAAACTCACGGACATGACGGCGAAGCCTCGGCTGCTTTAGGGTGGTGGTGGGGCGGTGCCTCCTCCGTTTCGACGCTCTCGCTGTGGTGGCGCGCGAATTCCAGGATGATCATGATGGTGCTGATGCGGATGATGGTGCTTCCCTTCTTCTGGCCTCCTTTGGCCTCTTCTTCCCTCCTCACTGTGTGGGGATTAGAATAGGGTTTTGGGTATATTATACTATAATTACACTCAGGAACCCCCCAAACTAGTAGAGGTATTATTTCGGCTGTAATTACTAGGAGCAGCTTTCCGTGTACGGCTGCAACTTGCTTTCGGCATGCGAATACGCTTCTAATTCTACGATGAGCATGATGGCAACATGGAAACTCGTCATTATCAAGATGAGCACGGCACAGCTGCATAAAATTCAGCAGTCTTGGTATGCTGGTATTGAAACCATCACGGTTTAATTGTTTAGCTCAGTAATACACAGCCAAGATAGTAGCTGGTGGTGCGGTTCACGGTCAGGATGAGCATGAATGGAGTCGATGGTGTTCTTTCTGGTCGGGGTTTAGGGTTTATGCATCCGGTTGCTGGATTTTGCCAATTGGCTTGATGGTGCAGCTGAGTCTGCGTTTGGTGGCATCAATGGGGCATGCTGGACTTGGAAATGGAAGCACTCCGTTTCTCAGCGAAGCAGGTTGCAAAACCGTTTTACGTTGCCCCTGAATCTGGGCAGCACGACCCGCGCACAAATATATCCAAGGGCACCTATGGCGTATAATGAATCCGAAGCCCCAACTTCCAAAACGCATTCGGTGTCGAAAAAGTCGATTAAAACGGACGACTGTCAACTGTGGTGCCGAGAAGCCCCAAAAGTGAGTGGCTTTTCCATGCACGTCCGGCGGACCAGGAAAATAGCCTCGGTATATAGCCCTCCTTAACATCAAACCCCACAAACTCTAAACCCGAAGCCCTGCGACCCGACAGCCCAAGCTGCCCAAACCCTAAAACCCCAAAACCTCAACCCTTGAGGACCTGTACGATGAAGCCCTAAACAGTGAAACCCAAAACCCTCAACACTAAAACCCTGAGCGCTAACTTAAAACGAGTTCATGCCGTTCGGGGGAGATGAGGCTCTGCACTGCAAGGTGTGCAATGCGATGTGTTATTCCGTGCTTTTTGTCGGGCTTTGAGTTTGAATATCTTGGGGACCTGACACAAGGGCTTCTGGGGTGTTGATAGGGAATTCTTCACATTCAGGCCAGCTTTTTGGAGGGTGAACAAGACCTTGCGAGAAGATGCATAAAGCCGTTCACTGCAACTTCCTGACACCAACTCCCTAAACGTTAAACCCTCAACCCTTACATCCGAAACCGTCTTAAATCCTAAACCTTTAACCGTAAAATTGACAACTGGCACGTGCATGTTGGACACCAGTCAGGCCACAACAAGCAAAACACATATGCCCCTAAACCCTAGACCGCTTCTAGGGTCCAAGGGCTGCTTTACTACTTCGCGGGGTAGTTCTCTAAAGTATGGTCCCCGTATTAAGGTCCCCAATACACCACGGCAACCTTAAAACAACAGGACCCTGAAAGGGTTTAGGGTTAGAGAACTGCCTTCATGAAGCCCTATATACCCTAAACAAGCATTGCCCGACTCACAGGTTAGCCGAGTAACAGTTGGGAACCTCGGCAGGATAATCTGCACCAGAGCACTGCCTGGCCCCACGGTGCTTTAAGGGTTTAGGGTTCAGGGGGTAGGCCTATAGGGTTTAGGGTTCAGGGTGTAGGGTTTAGGGTCAAGGGACCGGGGGGAAACGCCCAAGCCCTAAACCGTGATCACACGGGTAGCTCTCTAGACAAGGGCCCCTTTTATTTTTTAAATAGCACGGCACCCTTATAGATCCCTTTAAGGGATTTTAGTAAAGTCATGCTTCATTTATCCTGACGCTTAAACTTTGAGCCCTGCGGTGTGGGGTTGTTTCAGGTTTCTACTGTACTCAAGCTTATGTTCCTTGAGCGCCCTTAGAACCATAGGTACAGTACGAAACAAAGAGAATTCCTAAGGACACTGAAGGTTCCAGCTTTCTGGAGTTCGCGGATGCCGGAGTTCGGCGTCGAGGCTTAAAGTAAAGGAAACCCGGACCCTTTCAAGAGATTAGATTTTCTATTCAAAATGGTTCCGATTTCGGGGTTTAGGGCTTCGGGTTTACGGATTTGGGGCTTAGGTTTTAGGGGTGTAGGGCTTGAGTGCTTAGGATTTAGGGTTTCGGGTTGAGGGGTCTAGGGGTTCAGAGATTTTGGATCTTTCGGGCTATAGAGGGTGGCGGTTCAGTGCTCAGAGGTTTGGGATAAGGGTTTAGGCGGTTTAGGGTTGAGGATTCAGTCTACTACGAGGGGACATTGCTTTAGGTCTTTAGGATACAATGAGGGGTGGGGCTTCAGGCTTGCGCGATTGTGGGATGGGCATCAAGGGGCGGAGATTAGCACATCACCTAATGAAGTTTGCGGAGTGTCTTCTCAGGCGAAGCCATGTCGGGGGCATTTTGTCCGAACTGATTCCTGCACCCTCAACCCTAAGCCCTAAACCCTATGTAAACGCTAGGCCCTGTAGACCCAATATGCCAAAGCCGACAGCGCCTGGAGTAGTTCTGGCCAAACATCATAATCCAGCTGTCCGGCATATACACCGGAGCATAGGACGTGAAGATCGGCCTCCTCGCAACGAAATCCTCAGTAAAGGGAGTGGGTTGACCGGTTGACCAGGGTTGCGAGTTTAGGGCCGACGTACGGTTTGGGTTTCAAGCTTCTGGGCCCCTTGCGCAGGATCCCGGGGCCAGGATCCGCCAAGAAGGACGTCCTGTTCAGCTGAGGGGCGCATATGATGACGAACATGTGGCCCTGAATGCTTCGAACACGAATCTAGGTGCTCTTCCTAAGCTTGGTTTCAAGCAGGTGAAGACTAGCAAAGAACCCAACCCTAAATCCTAAACGCCCAAAGCCCCAAACCCTAATCCCCCAAAACCCAAAACCCCCCAAAGCCCAAAAGCCTAAACCCTAAACCCCCGAAGCCCCAAACCCTGAACCCAAGAGCCGGCGCTGTCCCCAACATCCAGACACCGCCGACTCATGGATCGCTAGATCCGGAAGTCACCAGAATGTATAACGTTAGGGTTTAGGGTTTAGGGTTTAGGGTTTGATGGATCTATATGGGTTCTATGACGGTTATCGAAGGGCTCTGCTTGGAAGTTCAAACTCGTCACACCTATCAAGCTAACGCTGAGGCCTGAACCGCCCCGTGCATCTTCGAAGTCAGACTTGTGACCCAACAGCCTATCTCTAAACCCAGAAAAAATCTCAATCCCGCCGGAACCACGGCACCCTAAAGAAGCCGCAAAAGCCGTGAAACCCAAAACCCTAAAAGCCACAAACAAAAAAAAAACCTGCTTCAATCTCCGAAATCGAGGGACCGGCCGATCTTCGGAGAAGTCGGGACCTTCTGCCGGTCTTGAGCCAGGAGGAGGCCCAGGCCCGGGACTTCCAGTGGTATCGACATCTTCGTCGATGTACGTCGCCTCGGTGCCGGCTTTAGTGGGTCTAGGGTTTTGGTTTTTAGGGTTTAGGGGTGTAGGGATTTAGGGGTTGAGGGTTCAGGGGCGTGAGTTTTGCGTTGGGATGGAGTGGAGAAGTATGGCTTTGCAGGACCACGACAGATGCCTGATGGAAGACCACGACAGGTGTTCCGAAAAGGAAACAGACATGCAAACACGAAGCATGCTTCAGTGAAGATGCAGCTAAAGACCCTCTACTAGGAATGGGACAGTGCTACTTATTTTGGACGAAGGCCATAAACGTCTTCCCCAGCAGCCGTTGAGGCGAGAATTCGTGTTTCCCACCTTGCTCGGGGTCCTTACAGACTCCACAGGGGTTCTGCTCCGAGAATGCATTCCTGTTGCTTGTTTTTATTGCAACCCTACGAAAATATCTTGTGCTCGGCTCTTAAATACGGCCGAACATTTAAGACGCCCATGGGCGGTTGGCACACTTCTCCGACAGAATGACTCGGCACTTAAGACTGACCCAACACACCTATGCCGGGCGTGGGGCCTACTGTACAGACTTCGGCCTAACCCATTGATCTTATGGTAAACACCCGATTTCGGTGAAGGAGCCGCCTTCAAACACCAGAAACCTCTGTTTTTCATTAAAACCAAGGTGCGTCTTAAATTCCGGCCCGGCTATGCGTGTGTGTATATATATATACACACATATACACATACATGTACATATATAACATCCTACAGTGTGGCAGTTTTTTTGCCCAAGGCTCCCTGGCAAGGATGGATTCAACTGCACGAGGCCCCCTTTGGGGATGCAGGAGGAGATCTCCCCCTTCCACCTCGGTCGATTGGCCTTTTAGGGGTTTTGGGTTTAGTATATTTTTGTTTCTTAGGGTTGCTAACAGGGGGATCGGGTATGGGCTGCAGGGACTTGCGATTTAGATTTTCAGTTAAGGGCCACTCTGAAACTCTGGCCGATCTGACGCACGCGGGCTGTATGCAGAGCGCATGTGGAAGTCTACGGAGCTTGCGACTCACACGTCCGATGCCTCATACCCGACAAATTCCTGGCCTTCGCATCTCTCATGTCATCTCAGCTTGAAGCCATGCCCGGCCCGGCAAAGCTGGTTTTCTTACCCTAAACCCTAAGCCCACTCTAAACCCGAGTTCCTCAACCCTAACATCGGAAGGAAAGGTTTTCACTTGGTTGGGACTTTGCACAGGAGTTGAACACAGCTGAAGCTGCGCTTATTCTTGAGGGAGCAATCATATCCAAGGCTATTTCCTCTAAGCATGTCCCTTGAACGTTTAACCCTGCACCCCAATTCTTATTCGCACAGCCCCGGCCCCAACGGCAAAAAATTTCCTGTAGGACCTCGAGTATGCCGCATCATGCCGAGCCACCGCAGCAAACTTGTCAGGTGGGTATGTTTTCCTCAGGCACTTGCTATGAGGACCACTATGAGGGCCAGCATATGGGTTCTATAAGGGTTGCCATACAAGTTACAGAAGGGTTCTCTCTGACATGCCGCTGAAGCCAAGGAACTGACTTCTGGCCAGACTTGGAAGTGAGAACAAATCGGACTATCCCTTTAGCTCCAGACAACATTACGACGTTGTACTCTCATAAAACAAAAACATCGAATCCCGTGGAGACGACGGGCAAAGTGCCACCGGCCGTTTTGAGTTGAAGCGGACATGCAAGGACAGTCGTCCCAGTGCTGGAGCAGAGAAGACAGAAAGTTGACATTTCGGGGAAACAGGGAAACTCATCGTCCTTACTTACCGCAGCGATAGCATAATATGCCGATGGCCGAAAACCCTACCCTAAACCCCTAAACCCTAAACCCTGAACCCCTGACCCCTATGTACCCTAAACCCATACGTTCATTAAGGGCCCCTATGTCAAATCCCACAGCGCTCGCTCCACAGCAGGATCTCCGAGCACTGAGGCGGCGTCGTGAGGCGTGCACCAGGCGCAAGCCCCAAAGCAGATATGCCCATAATCCTTGTTTTTTAGGGTTTAGGGATTCGGGTTTAGGGTTTAGGGTTTCGGGTTTAGGGTTTATCAAAAAAATTAAATTTCTATTCCCCTGTTGAACTTAAGTACCCCCCCAAAGCACGCAAAATGTTACCCAACTATGACAAAGAATCGATCCGATCAATGATTGGGCGAGCTCGTCGAAGTGCTTGTCAGTCATTCCCGCGTCATCAATCTTTATGGCAGCCTTAGATTCCTAGAGAGCCCAATACCCCTTAATTAGGGAATATACGACAAATTGCAGGGGCCTTAATATTATGATGTAAGCTTTCTCTCTAATCAAGGAATACAGCTTACACCATGATATTACGGCCCCTATAATTTATCGTACATGCCTTAATTCAGGGATATTGGGCTCTCTTCTTCATGGTGGCCCCAGATTTCTTTCGGCAAGTATACAGCAAGAGACGGTTGAGGGTCAAGGGTTTAGGGTTTTGGGGGTTTAGGGTGTGGAGGTTTGGGATGTCTGAATCTTTCAGCAACTGTTCAAACTACAGTTGGTCTCAGGACGCAGCATCTTTTGGCTATGCCTTGTTGCCGCACCTCCCCGTACCCAAGCCAAGCTTCCTCCAAAGCTTCGAGAGACCGGGTCGACATCCGAATTTGCCGCGAAATTTCCTGCTGCAGGTTCGCGTTTAGGATTTAGGGTTTAGAGTACGTATGTTCGAGGCGTCTGAGGTTTAGAGCCCCGGCTTTTGATGGTCTTCAACTTCCCCAAAGCCAGCTGCAGGACATCGGCAACGACCTTGAGTTGTTAGTCAAATCTTCATCAGTACTTCAATAATAACAATAACAATATAATAATCATGTAAGTAGAGACCCTCATTATCGCTTAAAACGCACTACTTACAAAGACTTGCAACTGCTTATGAAACCACCCCAAATCCATGAAACTCCCACGTGCGCCTAGTTAAGAAGTAGAAATTGCTCAACTGCGCACAGCAAGGACAGGCAAAACCTGAATGCCTGTGCCGGATACATTGCTGGGTCACCATCTCCATTGAGAGATTATTTGTACCAACTCAGTGTGCACTAAAAACCATCTAATGTATTTCAGCAGTATCCGTTACTGCGTAATAATGCTGAAAGGACTCGCGCTGGTGGAGGTGAAAACGACCTTGTACATGTAAATAGAGCCCACCACTCATGGACACTTGCAGGCGGGCGAAGCGAACCTACACCAATCCGCTAAGCACGAGTGAAAGAATCGGAACAGCTCAACATGCCCTTCATGAGCCGCACAGGAATTGCACGTCAAGCTTGTTTTACCGTGTGGTCACTGTGCACTCCAACCCTGAACCCTAAATCCAGCCTCAGCGTACCTCTCTGCAAGACTCCGCACGGAGGCGCGCAGCTCTTCCCGGAAGTCGAGCTGAGACCGGTGAAAGTTGTAGAGACCTCGGCTGAAGAACCCACGGGACCTAGAATTTAGGGTCTACATTACGATGTATAAGGCATATAGGGTTTAGGACTAGACAAGCAAACCAGTGTTGCATGTGGAACGTGCGGAATGATGATGAGCTCAAAACTTTCAGCTTCATCTCTTGGTGCAAGCCGCTGCCCATATGTATGTAGCATTAGAACTGATGATGCTGGTGATTACGACATGCTGTTGTTGATGACAACGGATGATAACTCTGGAGACCTGGCTATGATGACCGTGGTGGTATGTAGGTTCGGCAGACGGATGAATGAATGCACTAACGACATGCAGGGTAAAGGGAAGAAAGAACGAACGAACTGACAACATGGTGGAAGACCGAAATTGAAGGCACCTAAACGCAACATCATCACACTCATCATCCCTTGCACTCGAAGCAGGAGAATCTGCGAGGTTATCGCCGATGCATGCTAAGGAAGAGTGCAGTTTCCAGATACTAATAATAGTAGGAATAAGAAGAAAACTAATCATAACAGTAGTAGTAGTAGTAGTAGTAGTAGTGGTGATAGTAATAAGAATAATACGGACTAACGTACCGCTCATGTATGATTGGGACTTACCCCGAAACTCCTAAAGCCAGGATGTGGGCTTGTAGGATCTATGGCTTCTAGGGTTTAGGGGTTTAGGGTTCAGGGTAACCGCTGTGACAGGAACAGTGCTGAAACGCAAGGTCTGCTTGCATATGCTCAGGTCTGGAAGTGTAGCGATGAGGATCGTCGGGACAGGGGCGCGTAGCCCCTCTAACGCTAAATCTTAAAACTCTGAACCCAAAGCCCTAAATCCTAAGCC